AGTATGGGACACAGCCCAGGCCAAACTCATCTTTCCTTGTCCCCATGTGATTTAGTTGTTGGGAGTTGGAGGGAACATTTTTTTAAAAATCAGGGATATGTGATAGCCAGGGTCTTTTTCATAGCTCAGGCTGGCCTTGAACTTCTATGTAGCTAGCCCAGGCTGACCTTCACCTTGCAGCAATCCTCCTGCCTCAGCTAGAATTATAGATGTATGCTGCCACACCCTGCTGAAAACAAACTTGTCCAACAGATAGAAATTTCTGAGTCGACCCAGCATAATCCAAAGGGGTCTTCAAGAGGCAAAGGGAGGGGCCTGGGGATTTAGCTCAGCGGCATAAGCACCTGCCTTGCAAGCAGGCAGTCGTGAGTTCGATCCCCAGTACCGATAAAAATGAAAAAGAAGCAAAGGGAGGCTAAGAGCTCAGAGTCACCGTGGTGGGATGGGAGAGGACCTTGACTGTTACTGCCAGCTCTGAAGTTGAGGAAAGTGGACAGAATCCACAAGTCCCTCCAGAAACTGGAGGCAGGAGGAAGTGGATTTTCCACTGGACCTGCAGAAAGGAAGGCAGCCTGGCCATACCATGTCTTTAGCTCAGGAAGACCCTTGCCAGATCCAGACCTACAAAACTGAAGGGACACTGTTTCTTTAGGTTATCAAGCTTGTGGTGTCACCAGAGTCTCCACAGACCATCCAGTCTTCATTACTTGGTGGTTGGCATGGTCTGTGTCTGACCACAGAGTCCCTTTCTCCACTAGGTGACTGCTGGGTGCCCAGAAGGTGCTTTGCTTGATAAATGATGCAAACCTGATGGCATGAAGAATCAAGGGACCCACGTTTGGTGATTTCTCCATGTGATGTTTCCTCCCACTTTTCTGTGGTGCAGGGTACAGAACCAGGGCCCTCACACACGCTCTAGTCAGGCACCCTGACACTGAGACACACTCCCAGACTCCCCTCCTCAAGTTTTAATTGGCAGGATCAAAATTTGTCTATATTTATGATTGGTAACATGCTACTTGTTTTGTTCCTTGGATTTTTGAGACACTTTTGCTCTGTAGTTCAGGCTGTCCTTGAACCCACAGCATTCTTCTTGCTTCAGCCTCCCACGAGCTGGGAATAGCGGTGTGTGCCACATCGCCCAGTCTGTCACATATTTTGATATGTGTACACACTGCAGAACAGCTAAACTGAGCTAATTCATGTGTGTTATCGCTTGGGGTTATTTTTTCTTCGTGATGACAACTCTTAAGTCAACTGAACCCTTTTTGCTTTTTAAGAATGGTTTTTGTTTTATATCACAATGTTTAAAAAGACTGCGCGCAAGGTAAGGAGCGGGAGACTGAGGCAGGAAGGTTGGAGCTGGCAGAATTCTACAAGAAATACAAAGAAGACCTAATGCCGACAGTCCTCAAACTATTCAATGAAATTGAAAGGGAAGCAATCCTTCCTAAGTCATTCCTGGAAGCAAATATCACTCTAGTACCAAAACCTGAGAAAGACCCAACTAAAAAAGAGAACTATAGACCGATCTCCCTAATGAACACAGATGAAAAAATCCTCAATAAAATATTGGCAAATAGGATCCAGCAAATCATCAAGAAGATTATACACCATGACCAAGTGGGATTCATCCCAGGAATGCAAGGATGGTTCAACATACGCAAATCAATAAATGTAATCCACCATATCAATAAAGCCAAAAATAAGAATCACATGATCATTTCTATAGATGCAGAAAAAGCCTTTGATAAGGTCCAACATTTATTCATGATAAAAACTCTACAGAAAATTGGAATAGATGGTCTTTACCTCAATATAATAAAGGCCATTTATGACAAACCAACAGCCAGCATCATACTAAATGGCCAAAAATTGAAAGCCTTTACTTTAAAATCAGGCACAAGACAAGGATGTCCTTTATCACCACTCCTATTTAATATAGTACTGGAAGTACTAGCCAGAGCAATTAGGCAAGAAAGAGAAATAAAAGGGGTAAAGATAGGAAAAGAAGAAGTTAAGTTGTCATTGTTTGCAGATGACATGATACTCTACATAGAAGACCCCCTAAGCTCCATTGAAAGACTCTTAGATACAATAAATAAATTCAGTAATGTGGCTGGATACAAAATCAATACTCAGAAATCAATAGCATTCCTATACACAAACAACAAAACCACAGAGAGGGAAATAAGGGAAACTGGACTATTCACATTAGCAAGCAAAAAAATGAAATATTTAGGAATTACTCTTACGAAAGAAGTGAAAGACTTATACAGTGAAAACTATATTACACTGAAAAAGAAAATTGAAGATGATCTCAGAAAATGGAAAGACATCCCTTGCTCATGGATAGGAAGAACAAACATTGTGAAGATGGCCATTCTCCCAAAACTCTTATACAGATTCAATGCAATCCCAATAGAAATACCATCAACATACCTTATAGATCTAGAGAAATCACTCCTAAATTTCATCTGGAACCAGAAGAGACCTAGAATCGCAAAAGCAATTCTAAGCAGCAAAGACAAAGCAGGAGGCATCACAATCCCTGACTTGAAATTATACTACAAAGCAACAGTAGTAAAATCAACATGGTATTGGAATCAAAACAGAGCTGAAGATCAATGGAATAGATTAGAAGATACAACCACAACTACAAACACACTCAACCACCTTATCTTCGATAAAGGAGCCAAGCAGGTTCACTGGAAGAACGACAGTCTCTTTAATAAATGGTGCTGGAAAAACTGGCTCTCCATTTGCCGAAAACTAAAGCTAGACCCATGTCTATCACCATGTACTAAATTAAAATCTAAATGGGTCAAAGATCTGAATATTAAAACAGAAACGCTAAATCTATTGGAAGACAAATTGGGTAGAAACCTTGGAGACATAGGAGTAGGTAGAGAATTCATGAATAGGACTCAAACTGCATGGGAAATACTTCCCAGAATCAATAACTGGGACCACTTCTTATTAAAAAGTTTTTGCATGTCAAAAGAAATCTCCAGCATAGTGAAAAGAAAACCCACAAACTGGGAAAAGATTTTAGTGAACTCTCTCTCAGACAAGGGACTCTTGTCTAAAACATATAAAGAATTAAAAAAACTCAGACCTTCAAAATTCAAAGATCCAATCCAAAAATGGGCATCTGTGATGAATACGCAATTCTCAGATGAAGAAATGCAAATGGCAAATAAATACATGAAAAAATGCTCATCATCATTGGTCATTAGAGAAATGCAAATTAAAACCACACTGAGATACCATCTCACTCCTGAAAGAATGGCCAGGATCAAGAAAACCAACAACAACAAATGCTGGAGAGGCTGTGGGGAAAAAGGAACTCTCCTGCACTGTTGGTGGGAGTGTAGACTGGTACAGCCTTTGTGGAGGTCTGTCTGGAGGTTTCTCAAAAAGTTGGGATTGGAAATCCCATTTATTCCAGCTATTCCACTTCTAGGCATATTCCCAGAAGAACTGAAAGCATCATACCACAGGGATATATGTGCACCTATGTTTATAGCAGCACAATTTGTAATCGCCAGATCTTGGAAACAACCCAAGTGTCCATCAACTGAGGAATGGATAAAAAAGTTGTGGTATTTCTATACAATGGAGTATTATTCAGCTATAAAGAAGGATCGCATTGAGATATTTATCAATAAATGGGCGCAGCTTGAGACCATACTCATAAGTGAAATAAATCAATCTCGCATGTATGAATACCGAATAGTTTCCCTAATGTAAGTAATGATTCAAATATATAAAAATATGTGATAATCATGATTCCCCATTATGTGGCCTTGAAGCCTTATAAAATTTTCACTTATTAATTAGAAAGGCTTTACTCTGGGCTTTTTGATATGGAAATATTTGAAGCTATAGTATATGAAGTTTTATCCAAATATTTTAAGGAAAAAGACAGACACTATGGTAACTACTATTCTTTAAAAAAATTATTTAGCTATTTCTTATGTTTATTTTAATTAAGGGAAAAACTTAAAAAATTAGGATATATAGTAGTAACTCTTTTTGATCTCCTATTAACTTGTTTTGAAGTCCTGTAATACTCCCAAGATCTTGTTTTGACTGATTAGACTCTGTTCCATTCTGTGCGATAGTAGCAAGTTTGAAGGTATAAGCAACTAATTTGAAGGCAATAAGATTCACAAAGATGCCCATTCTGGTTTGACTATTGTCTCCTTTGGAAGTCCTGTAATGTTCACAATGCCTACGTTTTATTGGTCTTGTTCTCCACTGTTTTGTCCGGCTTTATAATATCTAATGAGATGGACAATTCCTTTTAAGGAAACAAGAGACAATGTTGATAACCATTGTTGATGACCTTGTACTCTGTTCTACATCATGTGCTATGTCTATCCTTGGTTTTGACTTACAGCTTTGTTTTGCCATATTTGACTTTATTCTCTCACCCCCAAAAAAGTAATAAGAACTAAGGAGTAATAAAATCCAAAATGTGTAAATTTTGTTATAAAAAAGAGAGGGAGGGGAAAAAAAAGAGCTCTAACGGATATAACAACAAGTGTGTTTAGGGATGTTAAATAGCTGACTATATTAATGTTTTTGGATCATTGAACACAGCTGTTTGCAGTCTCTCTGTTTGAATGTCTACTTTGTATTCTTTGATACTGTGATTTGAGCAACTATTTCCAAGATGATATTATGTAATCTATTAACAGGTGATTTCTTACTGTTATGTTTTTTTTTTTGTAGTTCTGTATTATGTGTAACCTTACACTGCTTTGTTTTGTTTTGTGTTTTTCTCTTTTTCCTCTTAAATAAAAAAAAAAAAAAAAGGAAGGTTGGAGCTGGCCAGGGGCCACCCGCCAAATGTCACCCGGGGGTGGGCGTGGCCGGGGGCAAAGCTTCAGCGCTTGGCTGGCGGTTGGTCCTGCGCTGGCGGTTGGTCCTGCTCGCGGCTAGCAGGACCCCCTAGGTCTCGAGGGACGGATTCTAAACCACTGCACATCGCCCAGGAGACCCCAGTGATGGCACTGTGGACTCGCCTGTATGGCCGCGTCCTGGAAAGCTCTAGGGTAAGTGGGGCCAGAACTTGTACAGCACCCGGTGAGGTGCTAGAAATCATCGTGGTCAGGTGTGCGGTCGCGGGGATCTCTTGCTGGAGGGTCGCACCTGCCTGGGGTACTACTCTGGAAGTCTTCAGCGATCCCTGTCGCCCTCATTAGGCCCGTCTGTCTATGTGACACAATAGCCTCTCGTGATCGTACCTCTTACCTTTCCTTCCTAACCATTCTCCACTGTACTGACCTGCTGTATTTCCATTGTGAAGCCTTCTTTTTTTTTTTTTTTTGAGCTGTAAACTTAAGTTAGGTTGACTGAACAGCCACTGCAGTCCTTGAAAAACATCTCTCTTAAAAAAAAAAAAAAAAAAAAAAAAAAGAAAAACATCTCTCTTGAGCCATAGCAAATCCAATTCCTTTCTGTGTTCACTAAATTAAGCCCAAGAATTCAGGCAGGCCTTCCCAGGAGCTGACTGCACACAGTCAATAAGATGTAAGATGTAAGATGCCTGTTGGATTTTGTACTTGTCAGTTTTCCTGGCTGTATACTGCTTCTGTGCTTTTCCTGAAAAAGGATTGAGTGGAATGGGCCCCTACCAGGAAATAGAAAAAACTAGGTAACAGAAGCGCACTTGTTTTCAAAACTAAAAAGTTTGCTTTTGCAAACAAAACCTCACATGGTTTGCTCTATTCTTTATAGGAGAAATAAGTAGCTCTCTTTGGGCCTTACATCTTCCCAGCATTGTTGTCTTCTTTAGTGTCTTCATGTGGTGGCTTTCTGCATTTAATGGGTGCCTGGGTGTATCTTCACAGAGTATTTGCATCCAAAGAATAACAGATCTGTGAATAAAGAGATTGTCAGCTTTCCTTTATTAGCTACAGATACTCATAAAGTTGTAGATTTGTGGGAACCTGTATTTTCCGTATAATGACTAGTCCTGTGTTTTTGTTCCAAAATGATGTGTGAGGTGATGCCCACCATCAGTGAAGAAGGCCCTTCAGGAGGAAGTGAAAACCATGGATCTGGCTGCCCTTCACAACCAGATGCAGATTCCCATTTTGAACAGCACATGATGTCCATGCTAGAAGAAACATACATTGCTCAGAGCACACTGATAGAGACTCAAGAAACATTGGCGTTGACCCAGGGGAAATTGCTCGAGGTTGGTCATGAGAGAGATTCGTTGCAGAGACAACTCAATACTGCGCTTCCACAGGTATGTGTGGTTTTCACCTGAAACTACAGGTTTTTTCTGTTACGTGTCTTTCTGTGGTACCATCTTTTGTTTTTGTACCTGTATATTTTGTGTAACCAACCACTTGTCAAATGATAGTTCCTAGTGTTTGTAAGCGCATGCAGAGTTCCTGGGGATTCAGCTACTTAGGGCAAACAAACTAGTGTTCTGTAAAGTCATGTGAAAATATCTTACTACTTTCACTCTTCGCTGAGGAACTGCTAAAGATTTGGGAATGCACTTTGAAGGTTTTTTAAAAAGACTTGAAACAACAACCAAGCGGCATGGTCCTTGGTTTCTTTGATTCTGTTTTGTGAGATCTCTTGCTTAATGTAGGCTTCCCATGGCTTGTATCTCAGGAATTGTATGTGTGTTTAGGATTGTATCTCAAGGATTTGCAGTTTTCTAATGAAATTTGGTAGATAATAATTTTTTTTTTTGTTTTTGGTATCAGGAATCGAACTGAGGACCTTGCTCTTGCCAAGCAGATGCTTGTTGCTGCTGAGATATTATCTCTAGCCCTTGAAATTTGGTAGACAAGGATTGATTTCACAGAGAAAAATTTTTACAGACTATCTTTACAGAATACCGGTGTTTGTAAATCACATTTGTAATAAGGGATAGAAAACTGGAAATTTATTCTTTAGGAACTTTCTCCTTTTAGACTAGACTTCTAAGTTTAAAACAACTGGGCTGGGGATTTAGTTCAGCAGCATAAGCTTCTGCCTGGCAAGCATAAAGTCATGAGTTTGATCCCCAGTACCAAAAACAAATATATAAAAGTAAAAACCACCTCAAAGTTGGAAACAACTGTACTTCTTTCTTTAATTATATTACATTCAGCCCAGTATCTCAAAACTGCCTCTTGTGGAATTAAATGGAGACTGAATGGCATGTGAAGGGAGAACATAGTAAAACTAGAAAAATGTAAGGTAAATGGTACACAGCATAGTGGGAGATAAGTAGCTTATTATTTAGGTGTTTATAAGCCATCGAGTACCATTTTACTTGTTCATAATAGTTGCCTTTCTGGTCCATTCAGGTAGACCTGAATAAGCATACATCTATGCTGTCATGATGAGTCTGCAGTGATAAATCGGCAAATGAACACTAGCCCTAATGTATTTGTTGGCTATAGTCAATTCTCCTGAAAGATTAATAAGCCAAGCATTTGAATTTCCTTTTTAGAAACAATAATTTGATGTTAGTGCTATATGTTTCTTTTGTTGGTTAGAGAATCAGTAAATTGTTTGCTTTTGTGGAGCATAGGGTTGAAGGAGGGCTTCATTTGTGTTTGCCTAAGTGCTCTGTCACTGAGCTCCATCCCTCCTAGTCACATTAAGATTTTTCTCATTGGAATCTTATAAATGTCAGAGTTTATTTAGGTCAGATTTTACTATAGAAGATTATAAGAACTGGCCAACTTGTATTTGTGTAGGGAGGTAATGGGGAGCAGTTTATGTGAAGGATTTTATAGTATATACAGGTATTTGTAAATTTGTGATGGTTTAGTTTTGTTTTTGTAATATATTGACTATAATTTGAGATAGATCTACAGTTTATCTAATACATAGTTAATCTATTCAGTTTTTGGAAAAAACAGGCAGGCAGGACCTGAGAGGGAAGTGACAGGAGTTTTGTAGAGCTGGTTTCAGGCCGTGGGTGTTGTCACACCTGCTGATGAGGTGGTTGCCTGGTGATTTGTTTCTGGGGGGTTCTCAGTGTAGCAGCCTGGAAATGCTTAGTTTAGTGCATAATGTGATGATGCCACCAGGTCCCGTCACCATCTGAGCACCTGATGCAGCATTTCAGAAACACAGAAACCATGAAACAAACTTGTTTTGGTCCTTTTCCTTTCCTGGAATCAGGCTCATCTTTGGTAGTTGTTTGACTAGAGAGGCCTGTCAAGTAAGTGCCCGGTGTACTTTTGGCACATTAGGTAGGCAGGTCAGAATGTGCCCTACTTCTAAAAATTGAAGTAAAAGGCTGGGCATGGTAGTGCATTCCTGGAATCTTCAACCCTTAGGGAGGCCAAGGCAGGAGGATCAGAAATTTGAGCCCAGCCTGAGAAACTTAGCAGTTGTCTTAAATAAAAAATAAAAAGAGAGCAGAGAATGCTCCTCAGAATGAAGGCCCCCAACTATAGCAAATATCAGAAATCTTCTCAGCGAATTTTCCATAGAGCCAACACACTTGAGAAACAGTTCCTACATCAAAATGAAACACTGGAAGCCCCTGCCTAGTTTCCAGTACAGGTGTTTCTCATTTAATTACCTGCTTAACAACTGTTTGGACTTCCCTGCTGCTCAGACTTATGCCTCCTCTTTTTTTATTTTTTGTAAAGTTCTGCACATCTGGTTCAGAGACTCTCAATGGTTTGGTTTTTTTTTTTTTTTTAGTTTGTAATGTTTATACAGTACTATACTTTTTCTGATGGTACTCTATGGTACTGTAGTTTCATGTTCTGTTGTACATTATATACTGCATAGAAGTTGTGCAAATAAAGGCAAAGTCATCAAGTTGGAGTTTCCGTTGACCATTTCTTTGTGCTGAGTGTTGTAATGTATGTACTATATACAGCTCCTCATTTAGCAACTAATTCTTTTAACGCTGTACTGACAGGAATAGGACTTGGTGGTTAAATGAGGAATCCTTGTACCTTTCCTCCAATTCTAACAATGGTCTTGATCTCTCACCATTGATTATTTTTGCTTCTTCTTGACTAAATGAAGTAAAATAGTACCTATATTGTGTTTCTTGGTTGTTTCATTGTTCATGAGATTTACCTGTGTCCTATATTTTTTGCCTATTCTCATCTGTTGTCTGGTAATCCAGCATACCAATATATCAAAATTTGTTCTTTTCTATTCATGAACATTCAGGTTGATTCCAGTTTTTATCAATTCTATCCTGAGTATTCTTGTGTATTATTTCTTTTGTGTATGAGAGTGAAGCTATGGCTGAGCATGGCGACATATGCCTATAAACTCAGCAGGGCAGAATGTTGAGGCAAGAAGACTGCGAGTTTGCGCCCCTCTTGGGCTTTATACTGAGAACCTGTCTTTTTTGGGGGGGGGAGGTAATGGGACTTGAACTCAGGACGTTGTGTTGCCAAACAGGAGTTGTGCCACTAAGCTATATCCCTGGCCCTCGGATCCTTTAAAAAAAAAAAAAAAAAAAAAGCAGAGAACTGTGGAGTGATAGATATCCCATGCATTTGTTCAGCCTTAAGAGATATTGCTAAAAGTGGCATTGTACTGACACCAACAGCATGTGAGAAGTCAGTGCGCATATCATCTTTACGCCTGACACTGTTCATTCTTTTTTTTTTTTTTTTTAAACTGGTACCAGGGCTCGAACTCATGACCACCTGCTTCAAGGCAGGCACTTATGCTGCTGAGCTAAATCCCCAGCCCCCATTGTTTATTCTTTTATGTTAGCTTTTCTGGTGCCTACTTAATGGGAGAGGTGACTTAGTGAGAGAGGTACCAGAGATCGAACTCACGACTACTGCTTGCAAGGCAGGTGCTTTTGCCACTGAGCTAAATGCCCAGCCCCTTATCATGTATTTCATGTATTTCTTTAGCATTTCTACTTCTTCATCTGAGAAGGGTCTGTTCATTTTTGATGCCCATTTTTTGAATTTGGGGGTGGTTCTGTATTTTTGAGCTCCTTATATATTTTAGGCATTAATCCTTTGTCTGAGGAACAGCTGGCAAAAATGTTTTACCATCGCGTGGGTTGTCTCTGCACTCTCTTGGTAGTTTCTCTTGCTTTTCAAAAGATTTTGAATAAGATGCAGTCCAAGTTGTTGATTATTTCTGATAGAAGCTTTGCAATTGGGGTTTTTTTCCATGAGATCTTTGCCTATACCAAAGTCTTCAGTTCTACCTGTCTTCCAGCAGATTGGAGTTGTTTCTATTTTCATATTGAAGTCTTTGAGCTATTTGGATTTTAGCTTAATGCCTGGGAAGGGATATGGGTCTAGTTGTAATCTTTGGCATGTGGAAAGCCAGTTTTTTCCAGCACCATTTCTTAAAGAAGCTATCTTTCTTCCAGTGAGTATGTTTGGCTCCTTTGTCAAAGATAAGATGATTGAGTATGCTGGAGTTGTTTCTACATCTTAAAATCTGTTCCATTGATCCTTGAGTCTGGTTGTTTTGTTTTGTTTTGTTTTGTTTTGCCAGTTTTTATCACAATAACTTTGTAGTATAATTTGCAGTCAAGGATTGATTGGATTCCTTTCTGGTTTTGGTATCAGGATAATACATGCTTCCAGGAATGAATTTGGGAGTATGGCTTCTCTTCAATTTCTTAAAAGAGACTGAAGTAGTAGTATTAGGTTTTCTCTAAATTTCTTGTGGTGTTCAGCAGTGAATCTGTCAGGGCCTAGGGTTTTCTTTATTGATGGGTTTTTAATTACATCTTCACTTTCACTGACAGATACTGATTTATTTAGAATTTTTATACCTTCTTGATTCAGCTGTGGTAATTCATATGTAACTAGGAATCTGTCTATTTCTTCTTTGTTTTCTATCTTACAATACACATTCTGAAAGTAGGTTTGATTTTGAGGATCTTCTGAATATCTGTAGGGCTTCTTGTGATTTCCACCTTTTGATTCCCAATTGTATGTGTTTGGGTCTTTTTTGTTTTTAATAAGGTTGGCTGAGAGTTTGTCAAGTTCATTTAATGTAACACAGAACTCTTTGTTTCATTGATTCTTTGTATTATTTTGTTAGTCTCCATTGCTTTAACTTCTGCTCTGTTCTCTATAACATCCTCCTTTTTACAAGCTTTAGGCATGACCTGCCCTTGATCTAAAAGCTTGAGGTTCAACAGTAGGTTATTTGAGCTTGCTCTGTTTTTCAGCTATGGGTATTCAGTGCTGTAAATTTCCCTCCTAGGACTGCTTTCATTGTGTTCCTTATGTTCTGTTACAATGTATTGGCATTATCATTTAATTATAGATACTATTTAAT